CGCTACATTCTCCACCGCCCCTACCATTTTCATCCCACTACCAGTCATCGCCGTTTCCACTCTCGCAACTCGCTGTCTCCGTCGCCCCCTTTTCTGTTCCTAAGCATTAGCCACCCCCGCCACCGTTTCTGACCGCCACATTGACGCCACCATCCCCGCCGCCAACCCCGACGCCGACCCGTTTGCCACCCGCCCTTTCCACTACATTCCCTAAAGCTGTATCCGCCAGTCTTCCTCTTCCATTGGCCGCAACAACCTTTTTCACCTCCACGACTCCCGACCCCGCCTCCACCTCTGCCCCGCCCCCACCGTCGTCACCGCTGCAGCGACGTGTGACTGACGCGCGAAGTGGTTCGTGGCCACGTGCGGTCTTTGTGCGCTCGCTGCGGGCGCCGCCACGCCACGCGACACCGACACCGACACCGATACCAACACGGGCGGTGCGGGGGGGCGGTGCCGGGGAGATTTCGCGGAGGCCGCAAACCCAGAGAGAGCGCACGGAGCCTGGCTGCACACGAGTGTCGATCTCATTTGAGAGAGGCCCTGTGTTTGCGACAAGTGAAATTTAGAATACACAATATTATTGGTATTCTTTTGGCGCAGATGAATTATGTGTAAATGTTGTGTGTATGTGTTAATGAAGCAATTTCAGTTATAATCCAAATTATTTCACATTTTCAGGAAGGAAAATAAGGTAATCTATTAGCTTAAAAGTTACAATTAACAAACACATAATCGAAATGAAGTAACGTATCAAGATCTTGTAATTGGTTGGCATGAGTACAAATGGGCGAATAGTAAATTGAGAGAAGAAATGGAGAATAATATGTGGAGAAAGGGAAATAGTGTCTCAGGCAATGACAGATAGTAAATAAAGACAAAGAGAGAGGGAGTGAGAGATAGGGTGATAAATGGAGGGAGAGAGACCGAGGAAGAAAGGGTGAGGAAGAGATGGAGATTTAGAAAAGGTGGAGAGAGGCGAAGTGAGGTAAAGGAGCGGGAGAATGGATGGAAGGGGAGAGTAGTGGGAGAGAGTGGAGGCAGATGGACGAGGGAGAGGGAGGGGGAGGGAGGGAAAGAGAGAGAGAGAGAAATGAGGGAAGAGCGAGAGCAAGTAGGAAGAGGGGGGACAGAGGAAAAAGAAAGATGCACACAGAGAAGGAAAACACCAGATGGAAAGAGAAAAGAGACAACGAACGGACAGACTGAAGAGACAGAGATACACACATACAGACAAAAGGAGAAAAGTGTAGAGAAGGAGAAACACACAGAGCGAATCCTAGAGAAAGCAGGAAATAGCCAAAGAGAGCAAGGGAGATGGGGAGAGAAAGCGGTGTCGACGGCGCGGCGGCGCGGTCGGTATTCTGGAGGCAAGAAGTCGGGGCATCCGGCATTCAGAGCGCACTCGCCGAGGTCACGGGCGGTCACGGCGCCGCGCCGTCTAGGACACAGACGCGGAGGCTGGGGCGTCGGTATGCGTCCTGCCCGCTTCGTTGCGCCGCCTAATTGCCGTGCCCGCTGCCAGAGGCCGCCTCAGCCATTACGTCGCGTCGCTCGCGCCGCCCCCTCGGCCCGCCCCGTCGCATCGCGCTGAAGTGCGCTCTCTGGCGGCGTTCGCGGCCCCTGACCTCGCCCCCGGCCCACCTCCTCCCCTCCCCTCCGAGCCCCTTTGCTAGTGCCGCTCCATGCAAAAGGTGCCCCTCTCCCCCGCAAAGTCAAATGCTCCCGCTTCGCTTTGTTGCGCTTTTATTCTCGATACCCAGCACTTTGATTGTTATTACGCCCGTGCAATCCCTTGCGAGCAAAGGTCTTCTGAGAGTCAGGTACAGCTTCAGTTCAAATTACTCACGGCTAATTAAAATATCGTCAAACACAATATGTCTGAAACTATTTTCGACCTACGTGCTATAAATCGGCAAAAGAGATGATAGTTTTTGCACTAATAATAATAAACAATCAACGCAAAAGCTAAAGTTTCATTCGTTTTGCAGAACCATTGATCTAGAAGAGTCCCAGTCGCTTCTGCAGTTAACATACGCTCTGCACTTTTCTTCGGATTCCTCCTACTAATATAAACTACTTATATCAATGAATTCAAATTGCCTTACGAAATGCACGCGCACACCGATGAGTGTCTGTATGTACTTACGTATATGATGGTTCACAATTAATGATTTTAAAAAGAGTTGTAGTTACCTTGCAGTTGGCAGACGCTCATCAATTTCTTTCGTGTCGCTCGCCTATGATATAAATGCTTTCAAATTGCCTTATATATCACTTAGCCTGTTGTACTCTTTCATGTTACAGAGCCAATTACCTAAGTGACTTAAATTGCCTTACTCTACCGGTGTTTTTCTTAACCGAAGTTGAGAAACCACTTACATAAATGAAATCTTGTTGCATAGCAATTGACGTGTGTATTAATTAACCTTGCAGGAACTCCGATGTAAGTAAATTCAAATTGTCTTCCAGTTGACATACATCCAGGATTTTTCTTCCTATTACGGAAGCTCTGATTAATATGGCCTTCTGTGGTCTTTCAGTTGGTTTAATCTAAATGAATTTATGCGTCCGATCTTTTCCACTTCGTTTGAGAACCACGGATGAATTAAAAATTTATTCCAGTCTCCTTGCAGGTGCCATCCGTTCAAGAATTTCCTTCATTTTGCATAAGGATTGTTCCTTACGAATCCAAAAGCGCCCAAACTTCGACTTAAATAGAGTGATTTCTGGCAGATCATCAGCTGGACGTGGTTATCTAATCGGGAGTTTCAAAGATTTAAGCGGTTAGGAAGCTCGTGTTTGGATAAGCGCGTGTCACTTGGTGAACCGTCAGAAATCACTATTTAGATCAGAGATTAATAATAATAATAATAATAATAATAATAATAATAAT